GCACATGAACCTATGCCTTGGATGTGACAATTTTCAGAACTTGCTACAGCATCAATTTTATCATGTTTACTAATCATACAGGAAATGGAACCGCTTATGAATTCATAAAATGAAGCAAAACTCCATATGCAAAATCAAAACCCAATCCCACAAAATATGCAAAGAATATGTTTTTGTCATTTCATTAAGAGAAACTCTGTGTTTAACTATTAGTCTTTTCTCAATCTTCTGTTCCTCTTTAAAGATCTCTCTTTCACTGTTTGCTGTTTTGTCTGTTGATGTTTTAAAATGGTTGGTTTAATTCTAGGTTATAATTTACCAGTGCTAGTCTTCCTGACCACAATGACAGAAATTTCTACCATATGCCGATAAAATGTGTGGAATCTGAAAACACACTTATTCAGGTCTGTATATTTAAGAAGGAGCTACAATTTTTATTATTCAGTTGCAAGGGGTTTTTCACAGTTTTTAATCTATATGATGTTCATATATTTTTGGTAGAGTTCCAATCCCAGTAGAGATTAAATGCCATTGATTTCAAAAGGAAAGAATTAGGATTTGACCACATAAATATTAGAGCTGAGCACACTCTTTGCCCCCCCCTCCTCCAAGAAGCAAAATAGGAACAGTATATAAAGCAGCAGTGCAAGACTGGGAAAAGATTTGACTGCTTTAAAGATTCAAAGAGAGATACTTTGCATGCTCTCTTATGAATTGAGAAGTATCTGCTTTGACTTATTTGGGAATAAGCTCCACTGAGTTCAATGAGTAAGTGCTATCTAGGATTGTTACATGTGGACTGTACTATCAAAGGGATTAAATGTTCTCAGCTGTAATGGGTTCATGCTTAAAACCTGCAAACATAAGTGATGAATCCATTTTTTAAAAAATGGTACATGTTATACCTGTTTTTATTCAGAGATAAAATGCGTAGTGCTATCCTGGGGGTGGGGTGGGGTGGGGTGGGGTGGGGGAGGTGTTGAAAAATTCAAACCCAGCCTTTTTTAATTGTACAACTGCTGCCACCATCTTGATTGTTTGAGAAGAATCCCCTGAGAATAATAAGAACAAGTAGTTGTGTGGCTCCTCCTCCTCCTCCTCCTCCTCCTCCTCCTCCTCCTCCTCCTCCTATTATTATTATTATTATTATTATTATTATTATTATTATTATTATTATTTTATCCTACCTTTTTTGTATATAACTCAAAGTGGCAAACATACCTAA